AAGACTCAGGTGGGTCTCCTGAATTCTTGTTTTGCCCTTGGACCAGGGACTGCCTCGTGTATCCAAACCCAGGATTCTTTCCCTGGAGATGCCTCTTCCTTAGGACACAAACAGCTTCCCACAGGGCGTGTGGAAATGTCTCCTGGCTATGCTTGGGTGCTCATAAAGAACTTGGAGCCACCATGGTTGGGCTCCAAGTGCACCTTGTTTTGCCAGCAGCTGGTTTTAGTCCCCTTGGGGTCTTTGGTTTAAGTCTGCTGGAGGTGTTTCTGCTGGGCAGGGAGGAGTTTCCCACCCTTGGAATGGCATGGGATGGGATGGGATGGGATGGGATGGGATGGGATGGGATGGGATGGGATGGGATGGGATGGGATGGGGTACACACCAGTCATGCTAAATGACACACAAATGTCAAGGGAACTGAGGATGCCCCATCCCTGGAAGTGTCCAAAGCCAGGCTGGAGCAACCTGGCCTAGTGAAGGTGTCCCTGCCCATGGCAGGGGGTGGAATTAGAGGCACTTTAAGGTCCTTTGCAGCTCCAAACCATTCTGTGATGCTGTGATTTGTCTGGGGTTGGCAGTGAGATCCAGCTCAGCCTCAGTGGCACACGTGGTGAGGCAAAGATGACCCTCAGAGAGCCCCTTGGAGAGTAACAGGAGCTGCAGGACCAAGTGTGGCTTGGCTGTCTCAGCCTGGAAAAGGAAATAAAACAGTAACCAAAGCAGAAATTCAGATAAGAAGTAACTCTGCCCTCCCTGGCACAGAAACTTTCTTCAGCTTCCCTTGTTTAGTAAAAGTGCACAGTGGCCACATACTGATACATTAATAGGTCCAAACCCCATAAAATATTAATATCTTGAGATGTGCCCCTCTGCTGACCTGCTGAGCCGGTTCCAGCCTCTGCCATCCCTGTGTTAAACAGACACAGCCCTTGTGAACTCACTCATGAATTGCTGAATCCTCTCCTGCCTTTGAACTTCGGGCTCCAACCACTAGATGGGACTAAGGGCCAGCACATCATCCCAGAGGTCAGGGACGAGCTCTGAGAGGCCAATGTTTACAGAGCAACTTGGCATGTTATGTGGATGTTCAGCTCTTATAAACCAAAAGGTCCTTCTAAACTACATTTATACAATTTATTCCCCTGTGATGATAAAATTTTACGCCTCGTTTCTTCCTCCTCTCTTGACCCTGCGAGGAAATCTCCAGTCTCTGTCCAGGAGTTGTTTCTGTGGGAGGAATAACAAGGAGCTTGTAACGAGACTCCAAACTTGTTCTTTGAGTTCAACTTGGAAAAACAAACAGATATTGGATACAGCCAGAGCTGGAAAGACAAGGCAAAAAGGGGAAGAGGGGGAAAGTATTACCAGGACAAGCTCAAGCAGCACTTGGAAAACTCTCTCAGGGATTGCTGGGGGGTCTGTGCAGGGCCAGGAGTTGGACTGGATGATCCTTGGGGGTCCTACAAAGCTCAGGGTAATTCTGTAATTCCTATTTTGAACCTGGGGTTAATCGGTATCATCACCTAAAATGGGCAAACTGCACTTTGGTTCAGCAGAAACGAAGTTTAAGGCAGAAAAGCGCAACAGCTGGGCACGTTCTCAGCTCCCAGGGTGTGCTGCTCTTGGGAAATGGGTTGCAATTTTAGGGGGAAAACTCAGCTCCATCTTTCCTGGCTGACCTGGCTGGAAGGAGCTGGGATAGTAAAGGTGAAGGGGTTAATTTACCACTTAACAGCGGGAAAGTGTGGGGCTGGGGGTGCAGAAGGGGTGGTCCCCTCCCAGCTCCACGTCCCCCTGATGGGATCCCGTTGCTCCCAGGCTTTAGGATGTTTGCTGTGGGAGTTGGCAACGCCGTGGAGGATGAGCTGAGGGAAATCGCTTCAGAACCAGTGGCTGAGCACTCTTTCTACACTGCTGACTTCAGAACCATCAGCAAGATCGGGAAGAAGCTCCAGATGAAGATCTGTGTTGGTGAGAGTTGGGGGACTGGGGAGAGAAGGGGGGGGGTTTAAGGCTGGAAGCAGAAGGAGAAAAATGCCCTTTCAGGTGGGTGTTACAAAAAGCTCTCTGTTCTCCCCGTGTTGGGTTGGCAGGTGGAAGGATCAGGGGACATCAATTTTGGGTGGTTACCTGCAAAGCAACCCCTACACCTCAACCATCTTCCCAACTCTCCCCAACTCCCTCTCCTTCCCTTTTCCTCCGCCTTCCTCCCCTTCTCTACCTTTCTCCTCAGAAATTATAAGTTTAGGCTGTGTCACCTCCTGAGAGCAGCCAGAAGTGGCAGAAGGAAAGAAAAGATCGATTTATTTGGCCCAATATGTAGATCATCACAAAACTGAAGCTTTCTAACCACTGGCTGCTTCTCCAGATTCCTAAAGATGGGACTTCCCTTTCCTCTAAGAGGCTCCAGTGGAAATTTACACTGCTCATGATTAATTAAAACATTTAATTTGAGAAGTTTTTTTGAACAGAAAGCAGGCTGTGTCTGCAGAGAGTCAGCTTTGCAAGGCAGAGACTTTCATGGCTCCTCTAAGAAGTAGGAGTCAATCCAAGAACAAAGTGATGGGAGCTGTGTCAAAAAAAACCCCCAAAACAAAACAAACCCCAACATGTATTTAAACATCTTTCAAGAAAGCAAATACATTTAGGCTTCAGCATTCAAAAAAAGCAGATTTTAGAAAAAGTATTGTTTGCAAAAAAAAAAAAAAAAATTTGGGTAAATATATTAATATTTGAGTATTTAAAAGAAAAAAAAAAAAGAAAGGGAAGGAAATATTTACATTTGCTTGATTTCCAGTGCCAGCTTGTATTTATCAACAGATGGCCAGAAATCTTCTGGTAATATCCAGCTTTAGTTTACTCAGGATTTGTGGTTTCGTGTAAGTGATGTCCTTTCCTTTAAAAAGTCTTACTCTTGTTTACTTCTTCCATTTCCTTTCTTTTCCCAACCATTTTATACTCTTTTTTTTTTTCTTTTTCCCCCTTTTTACTCCTTTTTACCCTTTTTTTACTCCCATTCCAGTTAATTTTGCTTGAAGAATATGTGGTAATTATGGACACAGGTTAACAAACTGATTAATGCACGTTCCTCCAGCCACTCAAGGACTGGAAAACTGAAGCAAAGCTCAACCAAGCCTTGACTCAGATGGTAACCAGGGCCTCCAATTTTTATTTGATGTTACTGGGGAGGTGGTTTTGAGCACCATGTTTGGTCAGATTCAAATTTTGGGGGCAAACTTTAAGCAGCAGCAGCAGAAGAGCTCAGTGGGTTTTTAGGCAAGTGGAAACCCAGGAGAGATTTTCCTACACAGAGCCTGGCCTATATGACGAGAAAATGTGACATTCTCTGGTCATCTGAGAGCCAGAAGTGATCAGCCAGGTAATTAGAAGGGATGATAATTTGATTTCCTTCCTCTTTCTTACAAAGAATTGCTTTATTTCACTGATCTCAGTGATTCTGACCAAATCCTTTTTTTTTTGGTACCACTTAACTCATCATCTTGACATTCTGCTCCACAGAGGAGGATCCCTGTGAATGTAAATCCATCCTGAAGTTCCAGACCAAAGTTGAAGATCTCATCAATTCCCTGCAGCAGAAATATATCCTTTGGGAGCTGAGTTTGTCCAGTTGTCCTTTGGGAGTTGGGTTGTGGTTCCTGGTGGGACCAGAGGGGAAATTCCACTCCTGGGGGAAGGAGGTTGGGAAAGAAG